CTGGGCCCTTGAGAACTGAAGTAGCAGGAGCTTAACATGACAACGAGGAGGCCCTGTCCATGGAGATCTTCAGAGTGTGCCTCTTTTTCCATTTACCTTGACTTTTAATTGCGCAAATGGAGCTATTAATAGGAGGTTATTTGAGTTCACTTGGTGACCCAGGTGTAAATAAGTTGGAAACGTCCATCCATCCTCTGACTATCCAGGGTACATGCTGTGGACAAATTAAAGATCACTTCACCAATTTGCATGTCTTTGGGTTGCAAATAGAAAGTGCCTGAAGGAAATCCATACACACAGACTGTGGACAAAATGCCCCCAGGCCTGGAAGTGTGAGATAACGGCATTAGCCGCCACACCACCGTGCCACCTGAGTTGGTAGAACACCCTGACTATCTATAGAAGAATCCCCTCCCCTGGTTTACAGCAAATAATGAACCTTTCTGCCTATGCAACTTCATTTTGAAGAACAGTAACAGTAACTGTCTGAGATGTGCATTAATTGGAAAATAAGTGAGAAAAACACTAATATGTTCCTAAGGATATTCAGTTCTCATTTTATACTAGATCTCATTGATAATAATATACTTTTAATGAAATACCCTGTAGGCTTTGAAAACCACAGTAAATGAAAGCATCTTTCTAATAATGGACAGAGACTGAGGACACAGTGATTCCACACATCTTCGGGCAGACATGGCAGTGGCTTTGTGTTATGATGAACATGCCTCTTCAGGTTTAGCCATATAAACCAACCTTTTTTTGTGAAGCATCTGGTTAATTTGTGTCTGTTAGAGCAACATTTGTCAAAACAAAAGCCAGGGTATGTGACTCCCCCCCCCCCCCCCCAGGAAAGAGGATCAAACATCACTGACCTGCAGCTTCTGTGAATGTACAGTATGTCACGTGATCCAGGCTTCATCATGAATGTATGTCATGTGACCTCGGCCTCTGGGATCCGCCCAGCTGGCTGAGCTCACTGACTGTCAGCACGCATACCCATCACCAGCAGGGGGAAAGAAAAATCTGTATTTTTAGTTTCAGTCTTTCATCACTGCACTCCCTCTCTCCCTCTCACTTCTCTCTTCTCTTTCACCCTCCCACCCCCATCTATTTACACCTAAGGCCCCAGGAAGACAACCAGGGGAGAATGTTGCAAATTTAGATCTCTGTTTCTCACTTTGGGAAAGGGGCTCCGAAAAGAATTTGGCAAAGAAGTTAAAATCCTATTACATCTCCATCACCGTCCCACCGAGCCCTGTTCCCCAAAGGGGAGCCAGGTGTTTATGCACCATCAACAGGCTTGTGTTTGCAGGAGCCCCGCATTAAAGAAAAGATGTAGCCTTAGACAATCTGGATAATTCTGTGGGCTTCCGCCCCCTGAATATTTGATGAGGAAGGAAGGGAGGGGCACTTTTGTGAAAACGTAAAAACAGGACGATTGTGATAGAATGAATGAAGAGACATAATGACTCATAATGGAACAATGAGGATTATGTCACTTTTTATGCATCATGTGTGCATTTATATTACCTCCCAGGGAATGTACTGCATGTATGTGTCTGTTTCAGAAAGGTATTAGATTTGGATGGAGCAATGGAATAGAAGGCATGTACCCCAGATGGATAAACAACTGATAAACTACTAATTTAAATGAGATTTGTCATAATCTCTAACGATCAATTACTTTAGTCTCACAGGCGTGAAGGTCTAAGGCATTACTGCAACCCAACCAAGAATCTTCTGCTGCCACCTAGTGGTCTTATGCAATAACTGCAGTAACTGCAGGAAAAATGCAGAAAAACAGGCATTTTACAATTCTCACACAGAAGCTACGTTGTAGATGGTGATTGTGTTGTATAAGTACCCTGTGTAATAATACTTAACACGGTGAAGTCCTTCAATGATGACTCAGTCATCAAAATGCATCCAAGTAGTTTTAATAAACACTTACTGGAAATGTGTACAGCTCATCCAGACTATAAGATTATTCCCACATATTTAACTACGGTTTTCTTTCCATATAAAGTTTAAGTACTTTAACGGTTGAGAGTTACTTTTTAAGAGTTACGATTAATCGCTTAATTCTTGCTTATAGCTCCCTATATATTGACCATGTTTTACATATTAGGTTCAGTGCATTGCTTAATGACATAAAAGTAGAAAACTAACTTATTAATGTTCAGTTCCATATGCTTAACCGTTATGCTATATGCGGCAGCTGAAATTTGCAGTAAAACTACAGTCTTATTCTTAGGCAGAAATAGCTGGATTCTCACACTCGTGAAAATTTAGCCATGATTGATTTGTTCATTAACAAAACATTCTCAATACTGCAAAGGGCATGATTAATTTCCTCTGCGCTGATAACATCAGCAATTCTTAAACTAACTACCTGGGAGAACTGAAAACAAGGCCTGGATTTGGAATCGAGGTCCAGATTTGAAGAACCCTGATCTAGAAATTACAGCACGGGACATTAGGCAGGGAGCGCACCCTGGCTGGGATGCATGTCACGACCACCAGGAAGAGGAACTCTTGGGGCAGGCATGGTGGGGAAATAAAAGGAGTTTTATTGAACTGGATGAACAAAGATTGAAAAAAAAAAAACGGGATTACAGGGGATCAAAATGGGAGGACTGGGCACCAGCAACAAGACGGTACGACATCAATGACTGGAATAGAGAGGATGAGACAAACGGGTACTTAATACAGAGACTAATGCAGGGCAACAAGCATCAGGTGAGGTCCATCAGGACCATGTGAGGCAGGAGACAGGAGGGTCAGGCAGACGTGGCGGGCAGGACGTGACAGTGCAGACCCTGCAGATCCCTTTCAGCCTCTGAAATAAAAAAAAATATCTTTTCAGCATCTGTTCTCTCATAAATAGGGTGATGTCCTTGGAATCTCATATATGCATTCATGTAACTCTCTTAAAAGGGTGGTAATAGCAATTATACGTCATTGTCAATAATTAATACTCCGATCTGGTTTCACACAGATCAAAAAGAGCCACAAGGTAGAAGCTGGGACACATAAAAAAAAGCCTAAAATGTGTTTCAGTTTTTCAGCACTGATGCCCTCTTGACTGCTCAGGCATGTCATTTTAGAACTGCCTCCTTTGCTGGTTGTATTAGGACCCTATTTCTAATTTAGATCTAATGGCTAAAACATTATTGCTCTGGTTACAATGAATATAAAGAAACCTGGTAGATGGAAATGTATAGTGTCAGACATTATTGCAAACACAATATTGTTTGGGTCAATGATAAAAGAGGCATTCCATTTAACATTTCATGAGAAAGAGTGTTTTAAATTAATTATAGGATATTTTATTGGAACTGAATATGATATAAGCTCTTTTTCAACGTTTGGAAAATGTCAAAAAGACCTGTATTCACTTAAATCTTTTTTTCCTCACAATGTGTGGCTCAGTACTTCTGAATTTGAACTGGGCCCTTGTGCAAGGCCCTTGGCCCCCTGAAACCCGCTGCGAGGGTGTGACCGATAAATGGCTGAACCTGTGCTCTGACCCTAAGCTTCACTTTCATCTGTATATGTGCACTGCAAGATACGATATGCAAAATCTAAGGCATTCCAATGTACTTGTTCTTGTGGTAATTGCATATGTCATCACTTCCAAATAAACAAGTGTAATCACACCATATTGTGCATTTTTAAGACTGTGCATGCATTTTCTATTTTGAAAAAACATGCAATTACAGCATAGTAAAATTAATTAGAATCTAATCAGACTCACTGATTTATCAGCAAGTACTTTTACATGCAAAGAACTTATTTTGACATGGTGTGCCAAACAATCAATACAATTTTATTATGTACAAACATTTCGGTTTTCTAAATAATGCAACCTTGAAAATAACGTCATTTAAATCCCTATTATATAGAACGTTTCACAGCCACTTCCTTTTTCAGTTTTATCACAGAGCATTGCATATTATATTTGTGAACGCAATCTTCCTACTTAAATTGTGTTTACAAGAGGCATGCTATTTAATGGGTCAGATGTGCAATTGCGAGTTCGTTGATGACTGGCTAATTTCAGAAATATGGCAAATTGACACTATTTTTTGCTTACAGCTTATGACAAATTGGTTTGGGAATGTCACACTCTTTCCCTTTTATTTAGGCCTACAGAATTTTTACTCATCACTAAATATTTACTGAATTTTAACAGCCCAGGTGATCTGACATTAATGCACAAAATAAACACATTAAATTAATTATAACGAACAAACGCTGGAAAACAGTAAGATAACTTCACCTTAGGTGATGTACTAAAGTAGGCCTACATAATTAGCCTGGTCATTGCATTGACTAGGGTCTCCACATCATAGGCTGTCTGCTTGGGACGCAGGTGCGAGGTGGGATCTGGTTGAATGGAAACAAAGGTGGCAAATTATTATGGATATAAAGAAAAGGCTGACTGTAAACCCGTATCTGTATCAGATTACAGGTCATGTGTGAAAACTCAATTAAAATGCTGGAAATAAGGAAATTTAACAGATGTTAATTAAGCATCGAGCAGCGTACGTCTGTCTTTAATTCAGCACTACGTATCGATGCGGATCCCTCCCTCCAAACGCTCGCCGTCGTTCACCGCTCATAGTTTTGCATCAACATAATTAGCCAGATGGGTCTCTTATTGACTGAGGGAAGCTGGACCGAAACGTTCAGCGCTCACACGGAGCCCGAGTAAGCAAAAGCAGGGCAAAGAATGTCCGCCTGACATAGACGCCTTTGTCACTTCATTGGATCGTACTCTACCGATAACGATCAGCTGCAAAAGGTAAGCTGGTGAGATATAAAAAAAATATATAGGCTATCTGGTAAACGACCGGGGAGAAAGAGCCATGGTACTGTGATCTGTGTCTATATGGGTAGGATCTTTAAATGTCATGGGCACTATTATAGCTAATTTAAGGTTACTCACAATCTGTTTATGTAAGAGCGCCTTACGATCACTGAACCGATTGAGGTGGCTTAATTGAAACATAAATATATATTATTCATTCAGACTGTCGCGATCAGTGCAATATGCAATGGCAGCTCTCTGACGTAATATATTACATAAAACTAGATTCTATATAACACCTACAATTAGACCGGCGTGTGTGCTTGTTTCACCATTTTTTTTACGTTTCTATCACGCAGACGCTTTTCCTAAGCTTGATCTGTTATATAATTTTGTCCCACCGTTGAAGGATAGAGAGGGAAGACGCACTTTTATTTTACCCTTAGTAAGATGCTTTTGTAAATAAGCGAGGCGTTTCGTGTTGTAGGTTAATAGATACTCCCGTTTCAACTGATCGGTTACAATGAACGACTTCAGCTACAGCAAGAACAAGAAAAATATGAATATATTGCTTCGTTAAAATCATCACAATTGACGGTATGTTGACCATTTAACGGTATGCATTTTATTTGGACGAATTAATAGGATAAAATAAATAAGTCAGAATGGAATAGATAGGCTAGATGGCAACATTCCATAGGCTCATTTTACTCTTGCAAAATATATAATATTAAGTGTCTCGGCGTTTCATTTTTGTTAGGCGAAAACCAGCAAATGCTCCTTAATAAGTGCTGCTTGCAGATATATTAGTAAAATTGGGTATTGCATGAAATATGTCAATTGAAAAATTACTTTGTGTGCATTTAAAATGTATATTATTAATCGATAAAATGCAGATTATTTACAACATCATTAGCCATGGTGGATGGATGAATGTTACGATAAATGCTGAACTTCGGTTTTCATTGGTATAGTCTGATATTTACATGTGGCATTTGACCGACAGGCTTTCCCAAATGCAAGGGGGCGCTATAACTTTACTTAACATTGTTACTGTAACAAACTTAATCTAATCGATAGTTCTGGACAGGGAGCTGCATTCTCTCAAGCGGTGTTACCTTTCGCTTGAGAAAATTGGTTTTTGAAGAGCCTGCTCCACTGCGATCGAAAGATTCAAATGACATGTTATTCAAAAGTGTTCAGCTTTCCATTATTGTAGTGTATTGTATTGTACATTGTAGTGTTGATGGGCTGAAGGATTCATTTCTAATACTGAAATTTCAATAATATTGAACTATGTAGATTGTAGGTACCTTCCTGTGGCGTTTTTTACTGTAAAAGATGCAATAATGCATAATTCATGGTTTGATTACATCCTTTAGTCTATAGTATTGAAAATGTTTTTAACTTCTTGGGTTTTCAGTTGTCGGCTTCAAACTGTATTTTTAAAGATATGAACATACTGATTTCAAAACCAGCAATGCAGAAATCTTGCTTTTCAGTTCTGTATCAGTTGCTTCTGCTGAATCTCAGTGCTTGTATATCCCCCAAGAAAGGATCGATATTACTCCCTGAGTCGCGCATTTTGGATAAATGCCCAGCAGGCTGATCAGTGTAGGCCACGTCTATCTGTAAACTGATCCACCCAAGGCCAATGCAGACCATTAGAGTTCTCCCCTGGGAAAAAGAAGACAAAGAACAACTAGTCTTCTTGAAGATTCAAAATAAGAGTGCAGTTCAGACGTGCAAAGAGAAGTTCAGGAGGATGGTGGGCTTTTGACAGAAAGAAGCGGGAGAGATAAAAAAAAAAAAAAAAAGGCGTCAGCAATACGTTTGCTTGGGCAGTTCTATGCAAACGTCTTAGGTGGGCTTAGGAAATGTTTAAAGCTATTTATCCAGGTTGTAAGAATACATTTGCTCAGAATAAAAAACACAATGTAACATTAGAAAATATGTTAATTAAGAGTAGTAAAACTAGCAGGAATTTCTTGTTCTCCAAAAACTCACTGATATCTTGTTGGATGGCCAGATGAAACTTCTCCTCAGGGGCACCTCAGCCATTCCATGTATTTGTTGAATATCACAACCAGCTCACGTAATTAGTTTAATTAGTTAAATAACTTGATGAGGTATTGATTAGCCATATACGGTCTGGAAGTTGTCTTCAGAAAAACGCACGGGTGCATTGGATGGTTGCAAATTCTAGGATGACTTTAGGAGAGGTTTTGGTTTGAATTGGTTATGTTAACAAACTTTAATAGATAAAATATATTTTAGTTTGACACCAACATGAAAATCATCTAAACATGATTTCCTTTGACTGTGTAAGACTTTGCACAGTACTGTATGTGTGAGTGGAACTCTCTCTTGCCAAATATTTCCTTCACATCTTCCACCTTGAGTCCAAAAACACATAGTTAGGTGAACTGGCATTCCTGAGTTGTGCATAACGTGTGCCCTCTGATGGATTGCTTCCCAGCCAGTATGCTTGCCTGTAACCCAGATAGATTGACTTTCTACAGCATTCTACACAATTTATGCAACTATGCTACATGCTTTGGACAAAGATATGTCTAAAGCAGTCTCTGCTATTAAACATATATTTGTTTGTCATTGTGTTTGGCCCCATGGTTACTGTGTAACATTAATCCAATTGTTAACTTCCTTTAAAATGTGTTTTCATTTGACTGCAAGACAAGTAATATAAATATTCGGTGTTCTTTTATGTGTGTGAGGCCGCGGTCCCAAACATAAGGATCAACGTGCATGTGTACTAAAGCAAAGGACTAAACTGGCCATGGGGCAATTCCAGGTTTAATCTCATTAATCTGTTTAAAACAAAACATTGAATGTGTAGTCAGATTATCAAATGGAGGATGCTGATTGGCTGAGGATTATGTCATAGGGGTAAAAAGAGCTACCTAGGTTTAACGGTCATATGGCATGGTTAAAAAAAAGTACAGATTATCTACTTTGAAACCTTTATTGTTTCTTCATGCAAAGCATGTAGTTAAATACATGGCATCATTGCTTTGAGACGATGTAATGTTGTGATAATGCGCTATACAAAAATTAATTTGTTTGCTTGTATTTAAACACAGAATTAGCTGTAAAATAGCTGTATTTCCATAAAATATTCCACTGGGAAGGTATTCCTGAATCATGTTTCAGTAAATAAATTATGATTGCATTTATAAATACACTAAAAATAATCAAGCATTAAAAATCAGAGGTAGAAGTATGGGCACGACAGAGGATGACCTAAATGAAGGCAAAATGATTTACACTCTGTGCTGGGGACTGCTTTGACCTCTTCTGATGGGTAAGAGTGATTGAGTCTATTTTTAAGTTTCAGTGACGAATTAATGATAACAAAGAAACTTGCTGTACAGGGTAAAAACACACATTTTAGAGATCAAAGTGTAAAGCCACACCCTCTGATTGGATCATAAAGCTGTGGGAGGGGCTAACAAGGAGGAATGTGTCCAAAAGAAGTACTCTAGGAAGACTGTTTAAAGCTTTACAGTGATAAATACACCTAAACAGGGCAGAACTGCAGATTGCAAGACATATATTTAGATATAGCTGCTGCAGTTAAAGTGAAGTGATTAATTGTCAGTGTTGACACACCATAAAATGTGTCCTTTGCATTTAACCCAAATGTGACCTTGTGACATAGCAGGGGGCAGCTAATTCAGCACACTGGGAGCAGTGCTTGGGGGTGGTACCTTGTTGGTCAGGGATTTGAACCAGCAGTCTTACAATAACAAGTATGCTACTCTAACCATTATGCTACCACTTAGTTCTATTCAACTTGTTAAGAATAGTTACAGAACTTGTACACATTCTGGAACAATAATGACAAGTGAAACAAAAAACCTTTAATATTCATCTTTTGTAAATGAAATGGTTACTGTTTAACAGTATTGTCACAGTTAATTATGGCTGGCATCTATTATGAGAGTAATTGTACATTAAATTCATTGTATCCTATGGCCAAACTGTAGTGGACTGTTTCCAGTTAATATTTTCCTATGGCCTGTTCAGATTATAACAGGCTTTTCCCCTGAAAACGATACAATGTTTACGCAGACTTGCTCTCTCACCCCCTTCATGGCTTCTTTAGTACTTCCTAGGAAAAGGTGATTCCATGTTCATAACATAAGACCTGGTGACAATGGTGTAATTTATTGGAAAAATGCATTCAACAGTATGTATGCGCTCAATGCACTGTGCTGCCTAAGACCGGCTCCATACCCCCCGCAGCCCTGGTCAGAATCAGCACCAATGACTAGAAAACTTACAGTTTCCTATTGATGATTTCTAAGATGGTTTTGTACATGAAAAAGTGCACTGCTTATTACGTTAAATCAGGGGTCTCCAACTCCAGTCCTGGAGAGCTACGATCCAGTAAGTTTTCTACCCTACCTTGCTTCTGATAAGCCACACTTGTTCCTGGTATTTACCTGAGAACTAGTGTGGCTCATCAGAAGCCGGGTATGACAGAAAACCTACTGGATAGTAGCTCTCCAGGACCGGAGTTGGAGACCTCTGTGTTAAATGTCCTGTTCTGAGAGGTCCATTAACTCTGCATGTTAGAACAGAAATAAGGCCAACATTGTAACTGTAATCAATAAACCCCATTTTATAGAGAATACGGGTATGCGTATAACCCCTATTTATGTGAAAGCAATAAATGGATACCCTGTAAATAAATGAAGAATTGTTCTGTAATAGAAATATGAAGTGGAACTGACCAGTAATTTTCAGAATCAGATTACTTAGCCAAGCATGTTCACACTAGCAGTGTAACGGTACATAAAAATCACGGTTAGGTACATACCTCGGTTTGGAAATCACGGTTTGGTATTTTTTCGGTACAGCAGGGGTAAAAGAAACAACAAATTGCTTCTTTTTTCTTTATTAAACAGTGATTTACTGAACAAAGTATGACTGTCTTTCTTAAATAAAAAGTCCCAGTCAATACTGCTGCAACTTACCAAAAAAATTAAAGTTTACTTAAAAGGAAATCAAAATAAATATTCTTTAAAGTAAATAAAATGTCCATTAAGGTGCACATTTAGAACATTAACTGTTCCTGATCTGTACTGTATTTTCACATTAGCAGATTTCAGCTTCATATTAAAACTGTGGAACACAAATATTGTCTCATAAAATACAAAGCATAACATTTTTTTTTTATTATTTAAAAATTAACTGTGCTGTACTTGTATTCACATTAACAACTTCCAGTTTCACATTACGGCTGAATCTGAATATGCGTACTTGACCGTACTTGTGTTCTCGTATACCCGTTTTACGTAATTTTACATTGCCGAAGACCAGTTCCAAATGCTAAGAACACAAGTACATGAGGACGGTAAAAGTTAGCAAGTTAGCAAGACTGGTCTTGCCAAGTACGGTCATTGCGTTCTCGGTATTGAGATTCACCCTAAGACGTACGTGTGCATGCATAGTGGACGTGGTGAGGCTTCATCTGCCTCTTTCCCAGTGTTGCTCAGGGGAAACACACAAACACATAAAGTTTTTCCACATTTGCAGTACAGTGGTACCTCGGTTCTCGATCTTAATGGCTT